GTTCTCCGGAGCCTCCTCCCTATATTCCCGGTACAGTATATGTCAAATGCTTTAGAATTTTATCGAGTTTACATCATGTATGTGTTTTAACTTCAATGATTATCTTAGATTGTCAAAGCAGATACGTGTCTGCCTTATATGATGATCGGAGGAACTTGTGTCTCATCATTTGTAGCTGAATATTGCTGTAATTTCGTATCTGAGTTAGAGATTCCCTTTTTCATAGCCAAACTTAAAACATTTCGTATCTGAAATTGAGTCAAATTTCTTTCATGCAGGTTGTAAAATGTTGAAATTTCCATTATGTTTGGGCGATATAAACAGGTATTTGAAATCATGCCTTAATTGTAATCCTTTTGTGTTTACTTTTACACTTAAAGCTATTTTAAATGAATATAAAGATGACATGAATTTATTTCTTTTTCTATCTACAAAAGTCATCATTAAAAAAACGTTCAACAATATCAAATCATAACTGAAACAATAAAAAAAATAGCAGAATCAGACTATAATTAAGGCATGATTTTAAAATAATTTAGTTGTTGTCATCACTTAAAAATGTTAATGTTTGTTTTTAATAATAATGAAGATTTTGATACGTTAATATATATATATATATATATATATATATATATATATATATATATATATATATATATATATTAATATATGTACATCTCCAGCTTTACGAGCTTATTTAAAATACAATAAAAATTCATAAAGAAAATCAAGGTTGAAAAGGAATGTAGAAGGTGTGTCACACTGTCACATATGTTAACAACTCCAATTTAGCAATATCCATTTGAAGGGCCATAAATATATAATTGCAGCTATAAAGAGATGATATATAAAATTTAAATCCTTATAAAAATTAAACCCATTGTTTTTCAATACCACATAAACGAAAATATATTTCAGTTTTTTAATATTTAATATTAGGTTTTAAAAAAAGAAAAATGATTTGACAAAGCTAATGCTTTTCGTTAGGTCTACCAAAACTAGAAAACTATGTTAGAGTGGCTGCATCAAGCTGGAAAGGCTGTGCCGAAGCCGGGGCCCACATTTAAAATTATCCACTTTTGTTGCAGAGCAACTGTTTCCATACCAGGGTTGCTATGGAGGACAATATGGTCAAACTGAACATCAAGCTCATAGGTATATAGTGTCTACTCTGTTTGCTTCTAATAAGAAAAAAAGTTAATCATCAACCTTTAATGTAGTGTATGAAAATTTTCACCTGTAATGGAATTTTGTAATCCTTTTGTGTTTACTTTTAGATGCTCGTTATACCATGTAGACTGTAAGCTTTGGCTTATCAATAGAGTGCATCAAAAACATTACAGCTATTACATGCATTCATTAAATGAATATTTTTTTTGGCTTATCAGTAGAGTGAACAAAGGAACATTTTTTTAACATTTTCATTATATTTCCAATAATTATTTATGATTTTTTTACATAAGTTTCATTTTCTAATAATTTGATGTCATCAGGAGAAGATGCCAAACTGAGCTAACCAGAAACCGGTAATATAAGAACAAATATATACTTTTTATAAAAAAAAATGGTTGTCATATTTTTACATATATTTTTACAGGGCTGGAGGGACACAGAGGCTTCCTAGCTTAATTGGAAGCTCAATAGCCAAAGAACTTATTTTCACGGGCCGAAAGATAACACCCAAAGAAGCATTGTCATTTGGTATTTTATTTGTATCTTTATATACTAATATTAAAAATATGTAACATATAAATTAAAATGTCTATATTGATAACCAAATAAATATAAGCACATTGTTATTATGGGTAGAAAAATAAAGGACAGACCATAGAATAATTTCATGTATGGCTAAAAGAGTGATTAGCCATGGTTTAGAACTGGAGATTGGGTCTGGTTTATTGGAGCGAAAACCTTTGTACAAAGGTGAATGGAATAAACGTACTTTGGTTAGTTGATATTGGCAACGTACTTTTGTTTTGGTTTTTTTTTTTTGATGAGGTGTAGAAGTTTCTTGACATGTACTATGGGCAGATGTTTATGTTGCTTTAACATGGAGTTATAGAGAGAAAGTTTGTCATTTCAGTAACTAGGATGGGAGGTGATGATGACAGGAAAGTAAGTAGGGGCAAATCGGTCATATTGGGATCACGGAGTGTATTATTGGTTTTGTAACTTAGGATTAGACTTTTAATTCTTATACAATAGATTCAAATTCAATTTTTTGTAACTATATTTCTTACCCATAATAACAACATACTTACATTTTGATACCAATATGAGCAATGGTCATCAAATCACCAACGATATATTGAGGATCCCGTCGGTTTTCTTCTAATTAGTGCTGAATCCAACCCCCGCGAAGCGGGGTTTCCTATCTAGTTAAGATTCAAAATTGTTCAAAAAACACCATTTAATTTTAGCATGTAAAAAAACGAATGTTTTAAAACCGGTGTTTTAGTTGAACTGGTATGATGATTAGTTCGCCGCCAGATAAACCGATTTCTATATTTTTCATGGTTTTTTTTTTCCTACACATACATACATATATAAATTATGAATTTGATTTTATAAGTTCAAACATTATAAATACATATAAAAATAAGTTGTAGATTAATTCAAATACATTAAAATAACACATAACCATAAGTTTTAGTGTTTTACATCAATACATATACGTTAAAAAGAAAAAAACATATAATACCGAATAAATATATAGTTTTAGATGAATACAAACACATCAAAAAAATTTATAAAATTTACCATATGTTTTTATTTAGAGAAAACTAGATATATTTAAAAAAATCATCAAAGTTTGTTATGTAAATGGTTATTTTTCATGTGGTTTTATTAGGTTTAATCGGTTCAGCCGGTTTATTTTAACCGGTTCAACCGGGTTATCTAAAAACCGGCCGGTTCAATCTGGTTCAGAAATCAATGTAAAACCGATGATAGTTGAACCACTCCCTCTCCCGGTTCCCGGTCCAACCGGTTCGACCGGCCGGTTAAAATTGGTTTTTAAAACATTGAAAAAAGCAATAGTGAAGTGATTTATTTGTACACATAATATCATCTAGTTATACATTTTGTACTAATTACACCTAATGGTAACAGATCGATTCAGGTTAGTAGGTAAAACCGTCAGTTAAAAAAATGTAAAATATGAAATGTGCATAACATCTGCTTTTCGGATAAGCTTCCTTTGAATTAAAATCTCTTAAGTCCATATTTTTAGGGTTTTGACTTGGCCTACTGATGACGTAACTAAGTAAATCTCACTCAATGCTCATTTAGATTCATCAATTATGTTCATCAAGGAGTCTGAAAACCCTAAGAATCCCGACTTGAGTCCATATTGGACTAGGATTTCCTTATTGGGCCTAATGGACCAATAAGCACCCAATTCAACTTTATTGGACTTAGAAGCCCAAATTGGATCCTAATTGGACCCGATTCATGAATCTAAAACATTTTGAACCATTTGGGTCTAGAATGATTCATTCTAACCCTAATGGGCCTTATTGGGCCATAACTAATCAAATTAACCTTAGTAAGTCATAAGCTCATTCTTTTATTCTATTTGGGCCGTGAATGCTTCTAAGGGCCCAATGGGCCGAAATTTTTTATGTTTAGGATCCAAGATCCTAACTAAAGTTAATGGGCCCAACCTACTCCACCCTTTCTTCTTGGCCCAAAATCTCGGCCCATGTATAAAAAAAAAAAAGAGGAAAAGAAGAGATTTAAGAGGGGGGGGGGTGACTTTGGAGGTGCCACCTCCATTTTGTTCATCATGTATCCACGCAAAGACCATCATACAACCAAGCTAGTCACCTCACCTCTCTCTCTCTCTCTCTCTCTTTCTCTCTCTCTCTCTGCTCTCCGCTCTCCTTTTCTACTCACAGCCAAGAGCCCAAACACACACACACACACACACATTTCACCAAATTCTCTCCATTACTCTCAAGAATCATTCATCTTCTTCCTCTAAAATTCTCAAGACTTTGCTTGGGTTTCAAGAGGATTTTCACAAGATAATCATCATTTCTTGGTAAGTCTTTACACATCCAAGCTTTATAACTCCATTTTCATGATATATCACTCTTTTAAGCAAAGTTTTTGGTGATCATACTCTTATAAATCTTCTTAAGTTCGAGATCTACTCAAGGGGGTTGCTAGGGCCGAAAATCACTTCATCTCTTTCCACTTCTTCTTCAAAAACCGAAACATCAAGCAAAATGTGAGTTCATACCTCCTTGTTTTCGGTTTTCATATGATTTTTGGGGAAGAATACAAGAAAAATGTGTAGATCTATGTGTTATATGCATGTTTTGTGTGAAATCTTAGTTATTAGGCACAAATGTGTTAGATCTTGGCAAATCTCGAAATTTTAAGTAGTATTTAGCAAAGATCTATGAACTATGACATTTTATACATCACATTGTCAAGCCAAAAGTAATCACATGTTTAAGATACAAAAGATTTCAATAAAAACCTTGTAAAAGGTAAAAAATTATCAAAAAAACAAAAGATAAGAGCAAAAAGTATCATTTATGTTTCCATAAGGGCCAAACAGGTCCTACATATATAAAAATGTATTATTATGTTAAACATACTTTAAAAAGGACAAAAAATGCAAATTTTAGTTTAATGGGCCAAAACTTTTGGGCCTCACGGTTTTGGACCCAATTTGCGAAAAAAATAAAGTTTTAGGGTTAAAAATATTAATTGGCCAAAGCTGAGTCATAAATATAAATAAACCAAATTTAGAGGTGAAATTTTTTATCCCATACTTGTTTTCAAATAGGAGATATGGTATATAATGCCGATTTCTAACGTTAAATAACCAAGTTCCTTCCTATCGTAATTAATGTATAACATAAATACTCAAATATTAATTAAAAAAAATTGGTTATAATATATATTTTATTAATAAAAGATAAATGATTTTTTATTATGCGGACACATAAATGACGTAAGAATTAAACAGTTTGTTAACACGCGAACACACAGCGCTAAAATTCTGAATAGGCCTTGATTTTCAATATTGATTGAAATTTGGAAGGGGAGGTTCAACCATTGCAGAAGAATTTGTAGAGACCAGAGAGAGATGAAGAAGAGATCAACGAGAAAGTCATCGGCGGCGACTTCAAATCGATCACCAAGCGAATCTCCGCCGAAGTTCAAGTTCAATTTCAGCTGCTTCAACAACGTTTCTACATCATACTCGTCGCCAATGAAGAACACCAGCAACCTGAACATCATATCATCTCCAGAGCCGCCTACCGGAATATCACCTGTGCCTCCACTAACGTCACTGAGCAAAGCACCTAGCACAATCGCTGATCTGAAGGAAATGGCGTCCTCCAACGTCGATTCTATCAAGCGTCACTTGGAATTTTCGCACTCCGAGATACTCAAGGACATGGAAGCTTCTCACTCACGTCTTCACAAGAGATTTAAGGTTAACTTCTGTTGTTTGCTGTTTCGTTCATTTATTTACAGAAATTTCAATTTTCTATCGTAGATATCTTCCTGAAAAAATCCTTAGTTGTAGGAAACGTTTTTGCTTATTGATATCGAGATCACATATTACATACAGTTAGCCTCAGCATAATATTTCTGCTTACTAAGGTATTTCCATAAAAACTGATTGAACACAAAGTGAGGTCCGAAGAGATCAGTTACCGAAGAGTAAAGAGTTCATTTATGCTAAATCGCTAATGTTACGTCTAGTCCCCAAATTAGAGTCCACTTTTTTACTTCTAAGTTCTAAAGCGTCAAATGTGCTACTCCTTAAAACTGATGAGAAACGGAGTTCATGTCTGCTAATGATGTCCCCTGTACCAAAGTTAGATTTGACTTGGAGCACCAATCTGCTACTCTTCTAAACTGATGAGATACTGAATTCATCTATAGAGGTAAAACTGATGACTATATTCGATTATAGAATATTCTTATAATTGAAATCTTCCATCTACAAAACTAGCAACATCAATGTACATTTTGAATTTGTAAGGCACTAGGTTGATATTCAAAATTTGAATTGGACTTTAATGATGTGAAGAATGACCTATGTGTATACTGCTTAAAATCAGGTCCCCATTTAATGTAATGTGTGATGTTTCTGTTATTTGATGTGTACTATGAAGATTGTGTTGGTTTTAATGAGGTAGACCTAGTTTATGACTTCCCATTCTTGTGAAATATGTAAGTGCCACTCAAACAAGGGGGGTGCAAGTAAAGTTTATGTTGGATATGGTAGAAAAGTGAACATTGCAATATTGCATACATGGTGTATTATTGAAGAACTATGATAATAATGAGTCATAGAAGAAAAGGTTATGTGAAAACAGTTTTTTTTTTGTCAGCTTGCTATTCTATAATGCAATACATTATGTAGTCTATGAGTATTTGAAGTAAATCTAATGAATTACAGATATCAACACTATATAGATGATACTACAAAAAGTTTCAGTAATGTCATACTGTGATTGTTACTATAATATGATACATTGATACTTTAAATTCTTATCTCCTTGTTGTTTTGAAGATTCAAAACCAAGCATGTCAAGAAACAATGAATGAAGCAGAGAAGGAATTCATGAAGATGAATGACCGAATAAAGGAAACTCGTGATGCAATGAAGGTAGTTTTCATGTAATCATACATTCATAATTTCAACTTTCACATTTATAACATGATCACATTTTCAGGCATCATATATGGAGTTGATAGCAGAAACACAAGCCAGCACTAATCGTGGTATGTTTCTATGACTTCACTTCCAAGAAAACATAATCATAAGTTTATAACCAATAACCAATTTCTTATTACAACTGTTGTATAACATTGTTAATTTGTTTGTTTGTTGATTCCAGTGTGCAAAACAACCATTCCTGAACTTCTTCAATCTAAGGATAGATCCATTGATGCTCTGAAGAGTCGTTATGGGATTGCATCAACTTCATCATAGCTTTACAGGTAAGTAGTACTATATATCGTTAATTATAACAACCTGCTTTCATTTCTTTATACTACAACATTGTACATTGAAAATCAACACAGTTTAAGCAATGTCATCTAAACACAAAGCATTTTTGGCTTCTGCAATTGACTACTTTTTTTCAAAGTACAATGTACAATAATCGGATAGATTGCTTAAAGTATAATGTTTTAATAGGGAAAAAAAATCTAAAGTACAATACTAATATCATACCATGCATATTCACTTTTTACCAGGAATCAATCATGAATAAGGTCTTGTTAGTCGCTGAACAGGTGATAAACTTTCCCTTCAAATTAATGTTCTTACTTAAGATCACTATGACTTTCTACTTGTCAATATATGCATACACGTGAAGATGTTAAAAATTAAAAATATGGATCAGCTAATTTTGCAAGCTAACTACTTTCCAAAGTATACAAAATGTTGTTTATCTTTATTATTAGGAAATAGCTAGCAATATCATACAAAAAAGGTTGAGAAATCAGAACTTGTTTTTAGAACCAGGTGAACCCCAAAGAGATTGCCAGAAAACAGGCCAATTCTTTTGAGCTTCATTCCAACCCAATAAAGAGCCTTCCCTCATAGGGTCCCAACTGGTGGATACAATCCCATAACTAACACCCGCTAGGGCTGTACCAAAGAACACGAATGACACAATGAAGGGTATCCAAGTGGGCACATCGATCTTCAATCCTACTTTTAGATAGTAAAAGAATGGAAAGAACAATAGGCCTATAAACAATGGGATTCCAACGGAAAGCCCAATTCTACCCATCATTCTGTTGGTTACTATCTCTGGAATCACACCGGCTTCTCTCTCTATCTCCTCTTCTTCTTCATCGTCTTCGTCTTTCTTTGGGATGAGGGTTTTTTTGTTGAGTTTCTTGGGGGGAGGAGGGCCGAATCCTTTGGGGGAGTTGAATGTGGCTGAGATGGGTGAGAATCGGAATTGGCGATTCTGATTAGTTTTGTGGGGTGGCTTTGGAATTGGAACTTGAAGTGGGGGTTTTGAGAGGTTATTTGGAGAACGTGAGAAATGGTATGAGCAGAAGGTAGTAGTAGTGGTGGTGGTTTCCATTTCTGTGTGTTTGCGGATGCTTTTGTTTCACTGCATCTGTTTCCAGAGTTTTGGATTAGATAGTTTATCTTCGTAGAGATTATAAGGAATTACTGAATTGCCCCTGTGATCGCCGAAGTCCGAACATCACTTCATCATTGATCGTCTTGTGGGATGTGTTTGGCGAGCCCAACCACGACTCCACTGAACGAAGTCACGAACCTTTAAAAAGAAAAAATTGAATTTAAAAAAAAAAAATAGTAAACATATCAGAATTTCATAAATAAATTAGGACAAATTGTATGTAATATAAATGCTCAGGATATACACATTTTTAAAATTGACATTTGATGATTTATGGTTAATTATATAAAAGACTTCACTTTTTATAATTTTTTCCGTTTAACACTTAAACATTTTATTTTATTCAAAAAAAAACTTTTACATTTTTTTTTCCGTATGGCTATTTTAGTAGGTTTACCGGCTAATATTATGGTTTAAAAAAATATTTCGAAAAAAAACTCTCAACTTTCTTTTTTGTAAAAATTTTCATATTTGACAAAAAATTTCGGAAAAAATCCTCATAGGTGATATTTTTTTGTTTGGACTAACTTTTTCATTGACTTATTCTTCTTCTTCTTTTCGTTGTTTATAATTGGTGCTTTTCATCAGCATTAGAACATTAACTAAACAAATGATTTTTTTCAAGACAAAGAGAAATGCTATTGTGTCTAATCCTTAGTCACACATAAAGCACTCATGCTATGATGCTATCACAATAAATCAAGCTTGATCTTGACTAATCCCAAGATCACTAATCAATCCTTTCAACCAAATTATTTTGTCCATGCCATGTACTCCACTTCGGTAGTTGACAACACCATCGAAGGTTGAAGTGTCGCCTTCCAACTCACAATCATAAACACATAACTCATAAGCAATCTTTTGCATCTAACACCCAAACACAATCTAAATCCAAATACCCGACAACCAAACACTTCGAGCACCTCCATTAATGAGATCCTTTTTGGATACGCCATATATCAAGAAACATACTTAATGAATGAGTGATATTCGGTCTCATACAAACTCTATGACATACATCAAACTCTTCATTGTACCTAAATTGTGATGTACATCAGATTTCTTTAAGACTCATTTTTTTTTTTCTGGTAGTTATCAACAACATAGTTAACAAAATTTTTTGTCATGTCAAAGTCAAAAAGTCATCACATTACTTTTGAGATTAAAAATGTTTCTAACGTGGAAAACATGAAAGTTAAAATTAGATTCCAATTTACATCAGATTTTGAAATTTTTTTTCTTCTTAATTTTGAAAACAATCTAAGATGTTAAGCCCATTTAGACCGTTGTTCTTCAACTTCTACTATGATCTTTTAGTACTATGCAAATAGATTTTGATATGAATTTTAGTAACAAGAATTGAACACGACATCATTTTTCTTTGTTCAGAAAATATAAAATGTTTCTTTCAGATTTTAATCTAGAAAACATTAAAAAAAACACCATAAATAATAACATGAAAAATTGAATTACCAGTCAAAACGAAAATTTGTCCAAACACATTTTTTTTGGCAAAGAGAAGATTTTTCCTAAAAAAAGAATTTTTTAAAAATTTGGGTTTTTCCGATTATTTACGATCCACGTTTATAACCAAATATAAAGTTACATATATGGATTTATTTTACAAATGCCGTTTCTAAAATAATATTTATAAAAAACAATTTGAACTTTACAAAAAACTTAGGCTCCATTTAATTACAGGAAAATAAGGTGTTTTCTAAATAAAAGTAAAAAAAATTTGTTTAGTTAACATTTTTTCATAAATTTTCTGAATAAAGAAAAATTTATCATTTTTTAGAATTATAAAGAACTTTGAGAAAACAATCAAGATTGTTTTTCACAAATTTATAGCTCCAATTTTTTACTAAAATACACAAATATTCGATCTAGCCACACACCGAAACACTCACTCTAACTTATCCCATCTCACCCTGCTCGTTCCGTTAGAAGGATAGGGCGAGGTGTGTGAGTATAGGTGGGGGTGTAGTAGATATGGGTGTCATGGGCATAGGGGATTAAGTGGGTGATTAAAAGTGGAGGTATGTATGGGTATAGGGCATTAAGTGAGTGATTAAAAGTGGAGGTATGTATGGGTATAGGGGATTAAGTGGGTGATTAAAAGTGGAGGTATGAATGTTATTTAAATAATTAAAAATAAAATGATAGAAAATAAACATCTAAACATATCTTATAATTTTTTAAAATAAAAAATAAAACTCAATCACTTTTAATTAGACATGTTTTCTAAATTTTTTATAGAAATTAAAAATAAAAACTCATTTTATTTTTCTGAAACGAACCGTAACAAGTTCATTTGGTATATTAAACATTTGGAAAATAATTCTATAACCATTCATTTTCTCTAAAAATGACTAGATATGACGAATAGGAAAATGTGGGTTAGACCTTTAGAGTGACAAAGTGAATAATGATATTTATTTGGATGAAATATTATGTACATAAAAATCTAAGATTAAATGTTTATTTTATTATTCCAAAAAGCAAATGTAAATTGAATAGTTTTAAGGTGAAACGTGCTGGGCAAATTGTTAGCGTTTTAAACATTAATTTCATGTTTATTTTGGTTTAACAACCACTCAAGTCACCTTTATGGCTTTATCCAAATAAAGTAAAAAAAAAAAAAAACAAAGTCACCTCTATCCAAATCAAGTAAAAAAAAATCATAAATGATCCATGTGGTTTTTTAAAATCTGAAGTTTAGTCCATGTGGTTTAAAAACATTGTAGATAGTTTCTGTGCTTTCAAAACTTTTAATGATTGGTCATTATTGTTAACTTTATTAAGTTTTGTTCGTTAACTGAAGGTCATTTTTATCATTTCGCTACCACAAGGACAATTTATGATGTTTTCTTTTATTTTATCAAAAATGAAATAATATACAAAGGGGTCTCCCTAATATGAACACCACCACAATCCCTAAAATACTAAACATGTTCTGAAATTTGGGTTCTTGAATCAATGCATAGGAAAGGAAGGAAGAAACTTTGTGGTTACTTCTAACCTAGTTGTCGATGGTTAAGTGCTACAATAAAGAGGTGGGATTTGAGTTAATTGGTACAAACAACGGGGTAACTGGAAAGGAATCGTCGTCTTCATCAAGTCGATGAAGAAACAAACAAATAAAAGGAAAAATCGGGAATCTCCAGTGAGACTGAGAGATCACGAAAAAGGGCAGGCGTCGACCTCTGGCGACCCTCGTGGGTTCAATCTCCGTTTGATCGGGAGGGAGAAGTACGAACAAAATCAACAAATGAGGTGGTCCGGTAGGGTTTAACAGATCCTGATAAGGGAATAGCTGATCCCCGACGAGCCTTCATCTTCACCCTGGTCATTGTCTTCATCTGATCGGAATGAAAATCAAACAGAGTGCTCAAAAGAGGTGGTATGGCGACTGGAATCGATGAAGAAGAAGAGGGGTTGTTGGATTTTCCGACGACCCTTCTCTTGTCTGTTCGTTTCCGGCTAACGCGAAAGGGGAAAGGAGGACTTTGGCGCTCACCTGTTTGAGAAAGAACTGGATAAAATCAGAAGTCGAGCGGGGGTGTGGGACCTCATCTTCATCAGATTGAAGGAGAAGAAAATGAGAGCAAAGACATGGGGTGTTTGGGTGTTGAACTTCGACGGGAAGGGATCTGTTGGAGGTTGGGATGGAGGCAACAACCTCCTCTCTCTCATCTTCGTGTTTTCTGGCGATCAGAGGACCACCCACTTTTGGTGGGTGAGTCTTGGCAGTCTAATGAAGAAGAAATGGGGGACAACAATAGCAAGTATCGGGGGTGTTTGTGTGGTGCTAAACGAAGAAGAAAACAAGAGAGAGAGAGAGAGAGAGAGAGAGAGAGAGAACCCTTTTGTATATTATTTCATTTTTTATAAAATAAGAGAAAACATCATAAATGGTCCTTGAAGTAGTGAAATGACGAAAATTGTAACGACCCAAAATTTAAGACCAAAAATTTCTTTTAATAAGACATTACTTTAAGCAAAGTCATCATTCCAATACATAATCTGAGTATAAGTTTTCAAAACACACGTTCATTATCAGAGTAAACATTCACAGGTTGTCTAATCTATGGTGTGTGCCATGCGATCACCCCGAGCTCTTCCTTCCGCTACCGGAAATACCTGAAACCAAAACTGAAAACCGTAAGCACGAAGCTTAGTGAGTTCCCTACCCTACCACATACCATGCATAATCACATACTGCACATACTGGGCCACGCCCGCTATCTTGGGCCTCGCCCCTACCTCGGGCCTCGCCCACACTACAACGACCCCGCCTGGCTTCGAGCCCCGCTCGGATACAGATCTGTTTTACTTAGGCCTCGCCTGTCACAGGGCCCCGCCCGCCAACAAATAATATCACATAAACATATCACAACACATAAGCTAACCTCATACGACTGATCTTGTCCTAAGGCCTCGCCTATCCTGGGCCTCGCCCTTGTCCTGCTACTGATGAGTCATGGGACCCCGTCCGCGCTCCTGCTGGTAGTGAGATACGGGCCCAGCCCACTCTCACTCCTTCCCTAGCTTAGGCCTCGCCCCTATTCTGCTACTAGTGAGATGTGGAACACCATCCACACTCTGCTATTGGTGAGATACGGGACCTCGCCCACACTCACCTCCCTACCAGGCACATACATGTATCATACAGACAACAAGTATAATCTATCATATAAACAAATCCTTGGGCACCCGCCCGCTATTAATGGACCTCGTCCTGATTATCATACTAGCATATTGTGCCTAGGGCTAACCCCCGGGTCTTCTTCTCATAACTACATGGGCCGGCATTGTGGCCTCAGACCCATTCACACAAAGGGAAACTCACTTGCACTGGCTGAACTTGCTGATGATCTCACTAGCTGCTGCCCGGCAACTCACTGGACTCCTGCTCCCCTTGCTCCCCGAACTAACAATATCAAAGCAACACTGAGCCTAGTTGACCCCCGAAAGACAACAAAGTCAACCCTGGTCCAAGTCAAAGTCCTGGTCAAGGTCAACCTTCCAGGTCAACCCTACTCGCCGAGTCACCCTACTGACTCGCCGAGTTCATATATTCAGAATCCTTCCTTTCGCGTCTCGACTCGCCGAGTCAGTCCATGACTCGCCGAGTCTACCGATTTCTGAGTCCTGACCTGTCCAACTCACCGAGTCTCCACCCGACTCACTGATTCGAGTCTCAACTCGAAGGGTTTGGGGTTTCGCAACCTGACTCGCCGAGTCCAGGAACAGACTCGCCGAGTGCAAGGCAATCTTCATCTGACTCGATGAGCTGTTCATCCCACTCGTCGAGTTGCTCCTCACCTTCATGCTACTCGCCGAGTCCATTCAAATCCTTTTACATGCAGAGGGCTTTTAAGTCATGCAGGGGTTCCAACTCATAGATCCATACTCCCAAAGCTCAATCCTTACGTAAAGTTGCAAACTTTACGTATAACTAAAGAGATCTAGGCTCAAAACACTCTACGGCTAGGTTTTGGGACAAAAGGGCTTCACCAACTCCTCATCTTTTGATGCTTTATGACATATTAGACCATCCCAATACTAGATCTGAAGTGGCAACAACATATCTAGGCCCCAAACTCGAATTGGGTCTCGAACAACCATAAAAACCCCCGAATCTTATAACAAAAGTAGATCTAGATGTAAAGGAGGGAAGATAGCAGCTTGTTACCTCCAAGATGAACACAACTGAAGTAGATCTCAGATCTACAACTCCTCCTTTGAAGCAACCTTCTTGATCTTTAAGTTCATTTCCAAAGTTTCCTTCCTCCAAGCTATTTCTCTCAAATGATGGAAGCTCACACGAAATCAAGGGTTTACTGGTTCTCTAGGATGATATGGGGGCTGAGGGAGGGACATAACACCCTTTAAATAGGATACAACTCCCGGGATTAGGGTTTTCCTCATTCAGACCAGACTCGCCGAGTCACCTTGGCCGACTCGCCGAGTCGGTCACTTACTCCTCGACCCGGATCCCGCTCGGACTCACCGAGTTCCTCCTTGGACTCGCCGAGTCGCCCCTTAAAATTAGGGTTTTCTTTCTTTTCTTGGCCTTCCAAACTTTGGGTGTTACAAAAATACTCTTCAGTTAACGGATAAAACTTAACGGAATATAATGACCAATCTTCAAAAGTTTTGAAAACACAGAGATCATCTATAATGTTTTTAAACCATGAGGAATAAACTTTAGATCTGGAAAAACCACAAGAACTATTTATGATGTTTTTTTCAGTAAAATAACACAAGGGATATTACCAAAAAAGAATGGTCGCGTAGAGTTAATCAAAATAAGGTATTATTATTATTATTATTATTATTATTATTATTATTATTTGTGTGTGTGTTTTGCAAAACGTACACCAATAATTAATCAAAATAAGGATTTTTTTTGTGTGTTTTGCAAAAAAATGACGTTAAAAATAGGCTATTTTAAATTGATCAAAATGTATAATATGCTCTTATTATTTATTTTTTTCTAATTTGCAAAAAAAAATAATAAATAAATGTCATTTTATTTTATGTATATGTTTACGTTAAAAACTACAAGTAGTATGCATTTAGGAATTCTAATGAAAAATAAAATAATAAGTATGTGTTGGCCTAGTCTTGTATTATATTTTAGGAAATCATGTGTTTTTCTTAAATTTTAATATCTTTTTTAATTGGAAAGGAAGGGTAACGAGGGTTTCAGGTCAATTTTTACGTATTGGCTAGTTCCCGCTACAAACATGAGGTTATGTATCATGCTTTGGAGTTAATGCAAACAAAATTTCATGATCACAATAGTTGGGTAGTATCAGATTTAAACATAAGTCGATATTATCTATCATATCTTTCATATATTTTACTAAATCACTATAACCAATATGAAACATAAATCGAAAAAACAATAGTTTGGTCTCTCCAAACTCAAAAACCAAATCTTTCTATTATGTTTTGGTTTTAATAAAGGGAATCATTCTCAATCTAATGATGAAAAAAATATAAAAAATATTTTTTTTGAAAAATAATCTTTGAATATAAATGGTCTTCTAGAAAGTTCTATAAGTGGTTTTTTTTTTCCGAAAAAAAATAAAATAACGACTTTTCAATATATTGTTGTAAATATTAATGGGTTTCCTAAAATAAAAATATAAAAATATTAATAAGAAATTAGAAAAAAGAAAAAGTAAATTGGGACTGAAAGCCGAAGTTAGATGATATTCGAGGGACGATTTATTCGAATCCAAACGTATGCGGTATTGGGTGATCCGTCGCGGTAAGTCCTCAACCACACATCCATCTTCTCCGGTCCACGAACGCTCATATCGTCAACGGAAATCCCCATTGATGACTTGATTTTTCTCTTCTCTTCTATATGAAAACACTGATGAAACTTGGTTAGCTTGAAGAAGATTATCAATTCAATTGTCATGGGCACCGTCATCGACTCTCATTTCTTGGCACTCACAGCCATCGTTACTGTACAAACACACACTCTCCCCCTTGCATTTCAATCATATTCTAAATAACTCTAATCATTCTTTTTCCTTGCAGTTTTGCTATCAGTTGTCGTTCTTCGTAGTCACAGCACTTCTCAAATTCGATAAAGTCACCGATTTTGCAGGTATACCTTTTCCCATTGCTTCAATTTTACTCACTCCATACCTGTATTCTGTAAATTCTCTCCCAAGAAACCGGGATACTTTTACTTTTCAGCTGAACCCAAAACTCTTCCATATCTATAATTCTTATCCACTTTTTACTTGTCTTAAATTAACCTTTCTCAGTTTGTGGTTTATGTTATTTCTGATCAGTTTATTGTACCCAAGTTTATTTGAACATGTATAGATGAAATTCATGTTTATTGTTTTCCTTTTTGTTAGAGATTCATGATGAAATTCATCACTTTGGAAGAATTCACTCGGTCTGATCTAAACCTTACATTTTTTTTTTTTTTTTAAAATAACAGGAAGCACAAATTTTGTCATACTCGCTCTATTAACATTGATTCTAAAAGGATCATGGCACGTTAGACAGGTAACCAGCGCTTCTGTTTTCTAATTTTTTCTTCATAATTTTATATTTCATAAAATAATGTATCAAATCAATATTCATTCAGGTGGTTTTGAGCTTCCTTGTTGTAGTATGGGGTCTTCGCCTTGGAGTGTTTCTATTAATGAGGTATAAATAATTAAATACACAACTGTTCATTCTCAATCAATCAAAAATCCATTTTGTTAATCACTTTCCACTTTCACGTATCTTTTCAGGATCTTGAATTGGGGAGAAGATCGACGCTTTGATGAGATGCGTGAAAATTTGGGAAAATTGGCGGTTTTCTGGATCTTTCAGGTTTCTGTGTTGAATTTTACTTCGAGAATCAAAAAAGGAATATTTTTCTTAGTAAATATTAAATAATAATTGTTGTCATGTTATTATATATATAACAGGCTGTATGGGTTTGGACAGTTAGTTTACCTGTGACAATTGTGAATGCAAGTGACTCAAATCCAGGAATTGAAGCTCGCGATATAATTGGATGGATTATGTGGGGTGTGGGCCTCACAATTGAAGCCACAGCTGATCAACAAAAGCTAATGTTTAAAAATTCTCCAGAAAATAGAGGAAAATGGTGTGATGCTGGATTATGGGGGTATTCTCGTCATCCTAACTACTTTGGCGAGGTTAGTGGTTAAGTCATTTATTTATAATAAATTTGTTTGTTTGTTTTTTTTTTTTTTTTTTTTTTTTAATAAATATTGGGAATCGGGATGCAGATTTTTCTTTGGTGGGGAATCTTTGTGGGGTCCACCCCTGTTTTAGATGGTGCTGAATGGCTAGTTGTACTTGGGCCAGTGTTTTTAACATTGTTGCTTCTTTTCGTTAGTGGGATACCCCTCCTTGAGGTAAGCTATTTTATTATTATTATTATCTTTTTTTTAATAAATATTGTAATCGTTCAGTTGTTTAAATTTGTCAAAAAAAAAATGGATTCAGGTATCTGCAGATAAGAAGTATGGAAACGTGGCTGCTTATCGACATTATAAAAACACTACCAGGTTGGTTAAAACTTAAAAATCTACCCAATCACAGCATTGTACTTTCGACTTTGAAATTTTACTTTGAAAAACCATCCAACTATAGCTATAATATTTATAAAAAAAATTAAAAAATGAAAGTATGATGTTATAACAAACAAATTAATGAATTGTTTTTATAAATTCTTCAGTCCTCTCATTCCACTGCCTCCTGTGGTGTATGGAAGCTTGCCCTCATGGTTGAAAGTAGGTTTTCTGTTTGAGTTTCCTTTATACAACAAGAATCTTCCTAAAGAAGAAGTGTTAGGCTGGTAAGTCATTTTCCATTAAAATTTAAATACCATAAAGTTGGGATCTTTCAATTCTTGAAATTTTAATAATTTTGACTCTGTTTTGCAAGGAAGAAAGATGGAAGTACTACAAAAATAGGTTGATTGCTTTGCTAGATGCCTGGTATATGCTGTGATTCTTTACAATTTTCCTGCTAAAATTACTTCTCATTTTTAACATCGTTTTAATGTTGTAAAGAGTATCCATAACATTTATTGACTAAAATTATATATTTGTTATGTAGCGTTATTGTAATCATAGATTGACTTTTTTGTTACAGTGAAAATGTTGTGTCTAACCTTTCCAAATTCCATCTTTTGTCATCATATAATCTGTAAACTAATTAACCTATCGATAAACGTAAGGAATACGGTGGAAAATTTTATAATCACATAACATTGGTATACGAATATTATTATTCGGTTTGCTTATCCATAAAGACTAATATGATAAAATGTTTGTATTATTATACATAATATAATGGATCTCCAATGACTTTGATATGCATATTATTGATCGGCATCAATATGTGTTTTTGTAGTATGTAAGAAGTTAAAATAAATTGAAATTGAAATTATTTGTTTTTTAACTTTAAAAAGGGTTTTCAACATCGAAATTTTAGTTTTCCAACATTGAAATATTAATCATACAACCACAATAACATTTTTTTAAATCATTCCTTTCGTACTTTGCCTTAACTGTTCAACAATTTCATCTCGTAACATTACCATCTAATCTCAATCTTTTGCAGTACTTTGTCCTTGAACCCCATCTCCATCAACATCAACGCATACATGACTATTTTGAAAAGACCCATTGGGTTGTTCGTATTAAGTAAAGAACTCATCGTTTAACCTCTCTTTCCGTATAAAATTATGTAGCGCGAAACATGCAATGATAATGTTCCTTTGTGTAACCAAAGGAAATGGTGCCATCTTTTTCAATATAGGGAATCATGTTTTTAAAACGTCAAAAGCATGCTCAAGGACATTTCGAAGTATTGCATGTGTATGGTTAAATCTTGCTTTATTGGTTAATACACGTCTTAAAGCCAATACCTCACATTACGATACAAAGCCCTAAATCCTCGAATGTGCGCATACCATCACAAAGATAATATTTATATGTAAATATATAAATAATTAATTAGAATGTTCAACTAAAATACAAATATTTAACAAACCATAAACATACTGGTGTTGCAAAAGGGAATGGGGCATGTGGATTAACTAATGTTTCTGATAATATTCTTGAATCATTTTCTACCATTTCTAGTCGGCCACAATAAACGTAAAAATCATGCTAAAGTCACAAATTTCCAATACGTTTTGATAACAATCTCTTTCCTTTACTCTATATAAATATTGTTTATTAGTAGGTACAATAGCATGTATCAAAGTTCAATCAAGTACACCAACTGCTCCTCTAAAAAACCTATCATAGCCTCTTATTGTTTATTTGAGTGTTGCAATCTATAATCGATAACATCGTAAATTATGACCGACTATCATAAAAATCATAGCCATCTTTTCCTCAATAGATACATGTTTACTATCCTTTAACGAATAATTTAGTAATTTACTCTAAAATGTGCCCATAGTCGAATAAAGGATTTACGAGACATACGTAATATTTCAACATGTTGTTTGGGATCACCTTGCAATAACCCTAACATGTATTGATGTCCCGACATATCTGAATCATTGTTTCACATTCGTTTCAAATTGTCTACCAAAAAAAGCAGAGATACAAGTACATAAGTATTACAAGAAGTATTTTTTTAATCGTTATCCATTATGAACCTGTTAAACCACGAAAATTTGTTAATAACATAAACAACATAAATATAGAATCATAAATCAACATAGCCAAAAAAAACCATACATATGTTTACCAAGTATCAAAATAAGCAAATAAAACTCAATCAATGGTTCTAACACAAGCAAAAAAACAAACAAATAATGTTTCCCTATTTTATTAGTCCTAAATTTGTAGTTGTCATCTTAATACCTCAGGAATATATGACAATATCAAAAAACAAACAAATAATGTTTCCCTATTTTATTAGTCCTAAACTTGTAGGTGTCATCTTAATTCATTCTCTTAATACCTCAAGAATATATGACAATGTCACTCGTGCCTCTCTCATTTCTAATAACCATCAAACAAAGTTGCACAAACTTCTCTCTCATTTCTAATAACCAAAAAAGCATATAAAAAATCACAATACTATTCCAACAACTGTAATAACTAATTAGAGTTAAAATGTGATTTCCAACAACTATATACATCTAATTCCAGTTAAAAATGTGATTTCCAGCAAATATATTCATTTAATTTCATTTAAAAATGTGATTTCCAACAACAATAACAACTAATTTAAATAAATTGAACAAATTTTTTCATATTTGAGAAAAGTATACATATCAGCAAAGAAATCTGATTTCCAGCACATATGAACATCTAATTTCAGCAAATAAAACCGATTTTCAACATATGTACATATGATTTTTGAGTTTTGACAGACTAATCTGATTTTACCAACAATAACATCTGATTTCCGGCAACTATAACAAACCGTAGAAGATAACATATGAGGGAAAATGTTCTCACCAGTGGCAACAGAGATGGGAGACGATGGTGAAGATGTGGTGAGCATCAGCGGGCGTGAGCAATTGCAGAGGAGGAGAAATATGGCGAGGGTTTTGGGGAGGAGGGTTTTTTTGTGCAGACTATAGAGGAAACAATTGAAAAGAAGAGACAAGGCTTTTTTTTGGGATAATGACTTAAAAGAGTAATATATTTTTCGATTTGTACACATTTAGTCACTGAGTTTTTTTTCGTCCACATTGACTTAATAAGGTAGTATATTTCTTATTTTGTATACGTTTAGTCCTTGATAATTTTTTTGTTTCAAAATAAGTCATTTTTGTTTTTGTACTCATACAATACTTATGAATGATTTCTTTAGGTTTTTCTCACGGCATCTTATGTGAGACAATCATTGATAAAATGTGTGGGACTATTGATATTTATGTGTAACATCTCATTTTCACAAACAAATTTTTTCATTTTTAAATGAGACAAAAGTCCCTAATTATAAATCCATTATTAAGAAAAAAACGTTTATTCCAAAATACATTTATTGAAAATCATAGTAATATAAGAAACATGGAACCCTCAATACTATTGATGAATGTGTACAGTCATGTTTTCGCCTCCCCCACGATCAACGATAAAACCTGAAAACATAAATAACTGGGTAAGCACTAAGTTTAGTGAGTTTCTCCCAAAATAATGGGCCCACACTTATCAGACTGGAATACCTAGGCCCAATCAGTCATCGGACTGGAATACCAACATGCAGCAGGTCCAATCAGTCATCGGACTGGAATACCCAGGGTTTATTGGCATGTCGCCTTAAACCAACCGTTCTACTCGAGCCTCCGTGCCTCCGACTTACAGCCGGCCTGCACCAGGTATCTTGGCCTACAACATATAGCAGGACCACCTCAACCTATCACACCACCATATTGTTATCCCACATAAGATGTTGTGATAAAAACTTAAAGAAATCATTCATAAGTATCGAATGAGTACAAAAACAAAAATGATTTATTTTGCAACAAAAAAAATATCAAGGACTAAATGTGTACAAAAATATTAAGGACTAAATGTGTACAAAGTGAGAAATATATTACCCTATTAAGTCATTTTTACTTGCTAATCTGAAGTAGTCAGTCATAAGGACTAAATGTGTGCAGTTTAATAAGTTAAAAGGATAAATATGGATGAAAAAAAAGTTAGTGATTAAATGTATACAAATCAAAAAATATATTAACCTTTTAAGTTATTATCCTTTTTTTTTTAAACTAAGAATGTTTGGAAAAAAACATTGGTCCACGTCTCATTTAAAAGAGTTATCTTCTAAAAAATAAACACTTAAATGGAAATGTATCTGCAACTAAGAAAAAAAAAACTTTTTAACTTATAAAACTTAAAAAAGACATTGGTAATCTATTTTAAAAGGAAGATGTACAAAAGATTTGTGGTCTTCTAAAAAACTAAAAAACAAACGTTCTGTAGATGAAAATGTTTACGTGGTGTACATAAGAGGTTTAGAAGCTCCTTTTGCCCAAAAAAAATAATAAATAAAAACTATACATGACATGGGCATAGGCCATGGAGTGAGCTAAACAAGTCTAATTAAATCTTCTATGGGTTGGTATAGTATAATACAAAAGTAAATAGATTAATATTCCTCTACAGTTTGTAGGTGGGATAAGACTAAACATATAAACTAAATAATCAATCGAGAGGAAAGACATTTAGTGAATATATCTATATATTGGGATAATGAAGGAACGTGAAGCACACAAATGTCAACAATAGCAATTTTGTTACAGACAAAACGTGAATATTAATTGCTCTCAGATATTATTACAAAGCTACCGTGTCTCGGAAACATCACAATATTCAACATCATGAGAGGAAATTGTCACTAAAATATACACAACTACCATAAATGGATCAATGTGTAGAAGGGCATCCATTCAAATTGATATTTTCATGTAGTGGACCCTCAAAACAGACATCCATAATTTTTGGTCAAAAGTTTTTTTTTTTTTTTTTTTTTCTAGAAACAACTCAAATTCATGAATTTATGATGTTGTTTAATCCTGTTTTTTTTTTCTTAATGTTGTTTCGAAATTGTTCAAAACCACAAGGTGTAAAACCTTAAAATTTGTGGATAGGAGCAATGGAACATAGATATACCGAGTCAACTTAATCGCAACTATTGTGACACTAGTCAACGACGCATTCTTTTATTCTGGAATCCTTAAGATTCACATACAAAGTCAACATTCTCCTTCACCACATGACATCGCATTTACAATTTATATTAAGTTGAAAATTATATACAACGTATCCACAGATTCCATACAAACTCCTGAAAAAACTTTTCAAAAAAAAAAAACCATTCACGTCAACTTATAAATAAAAGATTTTGAAGTCTCTTACAATAAAACAGTTCTTTCAACTTATTACCAATTTATGTACCAAACCCACAAATAAAAGTTTCTTTAGAAATTTTTTGAAGAAGCTTCTTGTTTTCGCAGTTTTGCTGACATTGTCAACATGTTCAACCAAATTAAAAGCAGTTTTCTGATTCCGTTTAAAACTAATATAAAATACAAAAAAACCTCACATTAAGAAACTATTCATTTGATATATCCCACAAAACTGTCTTAAACCTTTCCAATTCCAATTCAAATTCCAATTCCAATTCCAATTCCAATCAATACCCCAAAAATTCAGGAGCAAAACGAAGCAGCCTTTCCAAAGTACTTGGAGCAAATTTCCTTGCAAACATATAACACATCAAAGACGGCTTATCATTATAAACACATTCCCGACCTTCATGAAGTTTCTTCATAAATTCCTCATTAATATCCATCGCCCCAAACGTCGCAGGGTGGGGCCCACCCCTGGACCAGTCAACCCAAGTCAAACTCCTGTTTGCAAGCAGTTTCGGTGCCTGGATTGTTAACAAAGTCGGAAAATAATGCTCATCAACATAACAAGCGGGCCTACAAAACTGGAGGAATTTTGGGTAAAATGTGACATCAGATATGATAATGGATGCCAGTTTTCGGTTGACTTCAAACCACTGAGCGCCTTTTCTCCATTGGGAAATGTTGACTTCGGGCAGCATGTTCGGGTTGTAGCGGCCCCGCCCGAATGGGCCCGGGTCATCAAAGGCGCCCATGAAACTGTATTTGGATCGTGTTATGTAACGATATGTTATGGTGAAGTTGTAGAGTGGAATGCATGATTCCGATACAAGAATGAAGTATTCGTTTGAGATGTCCAGAAGGGCGTTGGCTAGGAGTCTCCTTTCCGCATCACACATGCTCATTCTACCCCATTCCGCTATCTGCAACAGGGGTATAATCGTCTTTTGTCAGGATAAATCATGTTTAAAAGGTTTATGAGAAAATGATGATGGTATTGCCACACTATACATGGTATTTACCCTTCTTCTTTTTTCCTCACAACTGATAGATATTGTGAGATTTTGCTTTTTGGAATGTAAGGGTAAAATGGTCATTTAGTCTCGTTCAGACGGTTTATTTATTTAGCCCAGAAACCTTATGTATATAGTATATACAATACTTTATCCAAACAGATGCTCATTACCCATTCAGGCACTTTTCCCATACACGATTTTATGAGAAACAAGAAAGAAATAGCTCCTTAAGTGGAAACGAAAAATATATGCGAGGGTAAATTTGTAAAATGTTAGGACTTAATTGGGGGAAACCTCAATTCTGTGTTTTTCTTTATTAAGTCATTCTTTCTGCATTAACTCGAAAAGAAACATCCAGATATAGCTAACTTAAGTTAAAGGGTGTTTCTTTTTTTACTTAACACATAAAGAATGTCTTAATAGGTTAAGTTATTATTGGGGTCATTACAAGGGTCAATGTGGATAAGAATTATAGTATATGGTAATTGATCTTTATATGATATTTTCCTATAGATTTGCACATCTTTTTATGGTAATACTTAAGTAGTCATAAAACTACAAGTCTTTAAAGCAACTATCTTATAAAAATGAACACATTAAAGCTAAAAGATAACAAGAAACAAGAAGCAGGGCTCAACATACCTGACTTGGTATCTGTCTCTGATAAAAAACAGATGTTGATGGAAAACGAGCTTGAAATGATGGAAGTGAATGAATGTAAATGGAATAAAGACTGTTGTGCCCCTTAAAGAACCTCTCCCACAAAGGAGCCAATGGTAATGGGCCTTTAGTCAAGAACATAAAGGCAATCTTTGGGACTCTTGCAAATGGATACTTTTTTAACTGTGGAACGAATGAAGCTCTCCAAAATAGCTCTTTATCACTCATTGTGTGGACAAGATTCGAAGGAGGTGTGATCCAATGGTCAAGATTGTTCTTTGGTTGTGCTTGTATACATGGTTGCAACATGGGGATTGCTGATGTCACTGTTGTTACTCCTCCGGTTTTACGGATCATATATATACTAAATAATGATATGGCAAAACATAAAAGTAGAAATAAGGAGAGTAATTGAACAAGTCTTTGTGGTAAAGCCCTAGATTGGTTTGACCTACTTATAACTGTTGTAGGAGGATCTTTTCCTTCCTCCATTGGGAATAATAATAATAATAATCAAAGATTGTATCTTAATAACACAAAACTATGAGATTTTGGTTGTGGGTATGTTGTTTTATGGCTCATAAAGTCCTTTAAGAGCCTTCTTGCACCCTGAAATAGAAATCACAATGAGTTAAAGAGTATATCTTTGGTATCAGTTATCAATAGAACAAGATCCCAGATGTTTTAATCTAGTGGGTTGTTTTTCATAATCCAAGAAATGTGCAAATTGTCACAAGAATATAAAGATGGAAGTGTTTTCTAAAATGATACAGTTGAAACCCTGTCAATCTCACCCATCTACAAATCGATGATAACAATGGGTTTTAGGGAAAAAAGAAAAAGTTGGCAAAAGGTAAAAAGGATTAAAGGACAAAATTCTTCAAACCCCTTGTAGCAATTTGAGATCTCAAAATTACGAAAAAGTTGTATCGGGAAACGAAAAACCTTCAGTTTGTAGTAATAATTAAAGGATTTGAAATCTATGGGAGTTGATAATTACCAGGACGCATCTAACACGAAGGCTTTAAAGACGAATATAATAAAAAACCAATCAATATGTATAAAACAGCAGAAACGCAATTACGAATTGATATCATATAACATGGGTGATTGAGATGAGTATCAAAAAGACTCCTAATAACGAAACTAATTGAAAGATCTAGAACAAACTGATTGAGTAAACAAGGGGGAAAACATTGAAGTAGAACATACCATGAACCGGTGAGAAAAAGAGAGCATCCAACAACAATAACTAGTGATATCGCAGCTGATATTTGACCCAATACTTTTATTGATTAATTGAGAAAAGGACTTTGCACTTGGTGTGTCTGTATCTGATAGAGAAAGATATATAGAAACGAATCCAGGAGTGTGGGAGTAAATATAGGCGACAAAGAATATAAGAATGGGGAAGTGCGAAACGTATGAAAGAGCGAAGAGATCTATGTAATGGTGGTCTGGTTCGTGTGATTTTGTTTTAGAATTGCTTACACAATGTTAGAGAGAGAGAGAGAGAGAGAGAGAGAGAGAGAGAGATGGCTTTTATGGCGTGAACACTGGGTAGCAGTTTCTTTTTTTCTTTAATAAATTTTCTTTTTGTCTTTGGATTAAATTATTGTACGTTTTTTCAAGGAATTTATTGTTATAAAACTAGTCAAGGACACATGTGTAATAAGTAATAACCTATATTGTATTCCCATATTAGAGTTATATAATATAATATAATGTATTCCCGTATTAGAGTTATATAATATGGGTATTTAATTAATAACTAAATTGACACAATTGAAAAGTTCAACCCTTTTTAAATATATTGAACTGTTTGTGGGTAAAGCCTCTTCATTAATATTGACCAAATAAATTGTAATTTCTGTCTGGTAAAATTATGTTCACCGGTTGCAAATATATACATGTTCGCTTTTTTTATTTTTCCTTTTTTAGTAAATTACCTGAGATATTTATTTCAAAATGATTTTTGAAGTAAAAGAGTAGAGCATATGTCGACAATGCGCAAACAAAATAAAGTGGGTTCCTCCAATTTGATTGTTTATCACTTTATTGTGATTTCGTGATTCATGATTGTTTGATAGTAGGGAAACAAGTTCCGAGACAGGGATAATCAAGGTAGGTCAACAATTGTTTTTCACTAAGGTCAACAATTGTTTTATTACTAGTATTTTTTTTATATACATAATCATTGTTACATAACCATGAATGTTTGTATATCTTTATCTTTTTCTTTAAGTTACTTAGTGAAGGATTTTGTTGCCATTGTTTAAGGTTTCGGAATTTCAAAGTCAAAGTAGGACACAAGGAAGATCAATTGAGTAGGGCTCAAGCAAAGAGGTTTGATTCTATATAAAGAAAGTTGTTTCCTAGTCTTTTGGTAGTCTAGGCCTATAAATACATTCATAGAATGGAGTTATGATCTATGTTGTAATCAAATTAAGTTTTTGAGTGATATTTTCTCAATAAAATTGGGGAGTTATTCCATATGCTTTGTTTTTCTTATTTGAATTGGTATCAAAACTCAAAAAAAAAAAAAAAAAAATACAGCGATAGAACAAGTAGCCATCAGGTGGTACTCAACAATTAAAAAAAAATTATCTGAATTGGTATCAGAACTCAAAAATAAAAAAATACAGTGATAGAACATAAGTGGCCATCAGGTGGGACTCAACAAAAGTAGTTGTCGACATAAACCTTTTGTAGACAAAGGTTTCTGTGAACGAGTTGATACATCTGCAACAATCGATTTTAATAATCAATCTTTTTTTTTTGTTCTATAAGAGGTCTTAATTAAACGATTGATCTTCATTTGTCGACAACCACAAATTGAAGAATTGTCAATTGGAGTATTGTCGATTGAAATTGCTGATCAAACAGTAATCATTAGTTTTGATTTTGAATTAAGTGAATTGCAAAATCGCCAAGTGTAATTGATCAATTGGAATCGACTTAATCGTTTCTGGTTTGGAGTAATTGATCAAACATTAGATCGATAGAACAATGTTCATAATAGTGCTAACTTTTTTTATCTGTTCACGATTGAGTTGATTTGAACAGTATTTTTCGATTAAACTCAATTGGTTTGAAATTGATTGATCAACAATTGATCCCGTTTTTCTGCTTTGATTCTTGAAAGAACAGTACTTTCAATCTTTCTGATTTTAAGTTTTTCTTTTCTAATTCGAGTAATCACCAAGACAGGTGACACCTCAAATCCAGTGTCATCAAAGGAAATCAGAGCAACCTCCATTCACTTCCCGATGTTGATAACTACAAACTACATAAGTTAGGCTATGAGGATGAAAGTAGTGCTAAGGATTCACAAATCTTGGGAAGTAATTGACCCAGGAACCACTACAAACATAAGGGAAAAACAATTTGGCCATAGGGTTATTGTACCAGTCGATTCTGAAGAGCTTGATTATTCAAACATGCGATCAAGACACGACCAAGACTCTTTGGGATGTAATCAAGGCAAGGCACGTTGGAGCAGCATGTGTTTAAGAAGCCCGCTTGCAAACTCTCATGTCCGATTTCGATAAGCTCAAGATGTTGGATACTGAATCGATATATGATTATGCTGGAAAGCTATCTGGAATAGCGTCAAAAGCAACAACACTAAGAGAAACGATAGAAAAATCCAAGCTTGTAAAGAAATTTCTTAAACCTTACCACAATCCATGTTCCTACATATTGTTGCATCACTTGAACATGTATTAGATCTCAATGCCATGAGATTTGAAGATGTGACAAGATGTAACACCCTATTTATTAAATAAATAAATTAACAAATTAATGAATGAATAAGTAGCCCTAAAATCCATAATAATTAGTAAGTTGTTGGTTTTGGGGAGCCAAATGTTATAAATTGGATTATTCGGAGGTAAAAAGTGTAAGTTCCGGGATTTATTTGTGAAGATTGTTAAAAGACAGGAGTGTTTGGTATCATTTGGACCTAATATGAAAGGGCTTATGGAAGCAAGGGCTAAAGAGTAAATTTTGGACCTAAGTTGAAAAGGTTTTGTTGAGGGTGGTTGTGTCCAAATTTCCAATTGCAAGCCATGTGTGGGGAAATGTTGGCTAGAAGACACAAGAAGACCACCATGGCAGCCAACCATGGTGGCTGTAGCCGAGAATGCTTTTCTGCTGCCACTAGCCACCGTGAAAGGTGGCTATGGGCGTGTTGTGGTGTTTGTGTTGAGATGTTATGAGGCTACAGGAGCGCTTCTTGGTAGGAGATCCGAAGAAAGACCCCACCGCTACCACCGTGAGGTGGTAGCTGCCACTCTCTGCCGCCGCCAACCACCGTTGTTAAGTGATGGTGTGTGCAATGCGTGTGTGTGTTAGTTTCAGCTAATTTTTTGGTGTTAGTATGTGTTGTGTGTGTTTTGTCTAGCCGGAAAACCAAGAAAAGGCCACCACCACCACTGTAAGGTGGTGGCTACCACCATCTACCACCGCCGGCCACCACAAGGGTGGTTGTGTGTGTTTATTTATTAGTATGTGTGTTTATTTTGGGTTAAAGCATTGTAAAATGTAATTAGAAATTAGAATAATGAAAAGCAACTCAAAACACCACCGTAGGGTGGTGGCTGCCGCCACTAACTGCCGTGTTGGGTGGCGGTGTGCTTTTGCTTGCGTTTAGTTGTTTTTTTTATGCTTGGACTCAATTGAACTAGAACTCTGACCACCACCGTGAGCCGCAGTTGACCACCACTACCCAAGGTGGTAGTGGGAGGTGCCCGCCTTATGAAACCCTAATGGGCCTTATGAGACCCTAGTGGGCCTAATGAAGCCCTAATTGATCTAATGACTTAGTTTTGGGCCTATTAGGCTCTGATTGGGTTAGAAACACTAATTAGGGTTTTGAAAACCCTAATTTTTGATATATATATATATATATATATATATATATATATATATATATATATATATATATATATATATATATATATATATATATATATATATATGGGCCTTGGACTTATCAGGACCCACATTTGGGCCATTGGAATGGAATTGTGAATTACACCCAATCACTCCATATGATTTATCTAGTAGAGTGGTTGATTTAATGGATTAAGTCCTTAATGGGTTAAGTGAGAAACACTTAACCCTAATTATCATTTTTTGTGAAATCCTAATCTTACTTGGGCCTTTCTATTGAGCTTTGGTGATTAGGCTAATAATGGGCCATCCAAGAACAATCATATGGACTAAGAATTTATAGATGGGTTTTAGGGTAAGGCCCAAGTGAGGGTTTGGGCCATTAGAAATTCCAAATGTTTGCGCCAGACTAAATGGTTGGGCCTTAGGGGAAGACCAAGTAGAGGTTTGAGCCCAATTTGGAAATTTGGGCCATATGTTGGGTTTGACTCATAGTTGACTTTTGGGCCTTTGGATTGGGCCTTGGCCTTGAATTAAGCTAAGATGGGGGTAAAGTAGGTTTTTACCCCAAGTATGGACTTATGATATGTGTTGGAACCCAATTATTAATTGGGTGTTATTTTGATGATTGACAGTTCGAGAATCTGTCATCCAACAGTTAGAGTTTTCATCTGTGGGACTTCAGTAGTGCGAGGTGAGTTACCTTCCAGTATAAGTGGGTCGAAGGCACCAAGTCGACCCACTAGTAGTTAATTATAGTTAAGATGATTGTCTTTATGATAATTGTCTGGTATGCCGCTATCTGTTATGTGTTATGTGCTAGTATGCTATGCTGTTATATGTTAATGGTAGTAGGAGGGGAGTAGTCCCCGTGTTACAGTCGTTAGGACCGAAGGGTAGGTTGGGCACCCTAGATATGTCTGACAGTATGTTTTTGTTATGTTGTTATGTGGTAGTGGTAGGTGGTGAAATAGTCCCCGTAGCTGGTTGAGATAAACATGAAGGTAGGTCAGGCACCCTAGAATGGTCTGACAAGGTAGGTCGAGCACCCCAGAAATGCTTGACATGGGTAGCTCAAGCACCCCAGAATTGCCTGGCAGGGTAGGTCAGGCACCCCAAAATTGTCTGGCAGTATGTGTTTGGTATAGTATTTGGTATGATGGGAGAACTCACTAAGCTTCGTGCTTACGATTTTCAGTTTTGGTTTCAGGTACTTCGTTTTCAAAGGAAAGGAGTCGGCTCGATCGCAGCGCATCACACTATGTTTTCCGCACATGAGATCTTTGGGATCACACTCTGATATTATTTCATGATAACATGTTTGACTATTAACACTTTGTTTTTTGACATGAGATGTTATTATGGATGTTTTATTACTTATGGTTTTATAATAACTTATTTAAAAATGAAATTTTCAACCTTGAAATTTAGGATGTTACACAGGAAGACTAAAAGCCTATGAGGTATGAGTGAACAATGATGATTCAGGAGATAACAATCAATCAAAATTGTTGTTCACTATTAAGGACCAACAAAATCGTAAGAATCAAGATAACAATAACGGATAATGGAAGGGTTCAAATGGAAAAGGAAAGGGAAATCAAAACAGAGGGTCATCTAATGTCAAAAATTCACGTTCA